GCAACAGCGTCGTCGGCGTCCAAGGTAGCGCCGTCCAAAACAAGCGTAGGCCACGTGTGCACCAGTGGGCCTGGTCGCGTCAATAGCGTCTTGGTCGCAGCTAGTGGTGTGTCCAGCGACGCCTGTGGCAGCGCCAACAGAAAGGCGCTGGCGTCGTGGGGCGACTGGAGGCACTGGACGATCAAGATGAGGGCGTGCGGGAGGTCGAGCATCGTCGCAGCCTCGGGAGACGCGCGCTTGGACGCTGCCATTGTCAAAGTTTCCTAACTGCCGTTGGTCTAATTCTGAACTGCTGCAAGTTACTTTCACGATGCATGTGACGATCGCGATCAATGATCGTCATTTGGGTATCGCAGATCCAGCAGATCGTCATTTTGGGTAACCTCACAAGCGCGGCCAATCAGATCAAAACCATCCCAAGTGCTGCCAATCAGCAGCGCATATGCATTTGATTGGTCAAATGTGAGAGCAGAAGGTGTCTCAAAGTACCACGCAAGAGGCTGGTCGCGAAATTTCCTGCGCTGTCCAGTTCCAACTTGCGCCTGATTGTTCTTGTACGGATAACGATTAACCGGACCTAACTCGCTTCGGTGAAATTGCTTGAGGTCGGGAAAATATGGATCAAGCGGCTGTCCTGATCGGTGTCGGGACAACCATCGCGTCCGTCGAGGACGCCCGGCCACCTCTGCCCGACCACCTCTGTATCTGTTACAAAAGCCGGGGTCCTACGGGATTTTGGACGACCCCGTGGGTAAAAATGAGCCAAAGGTGGGGGATCGAGCCGCACCCACTGGTTTCGCGACCCCCGGGGTGTCCTGTCCGTCGCTATAGTACTAGTATGCGCTACGGCGGGAGGTAACTTCCGCGAGGATAAGTACAACATCCTCACCATTGGCATGGTCGAGGTTGACGACATGCTCGACAACCCGCGCTTCAACCAGTGGTTCATCAGCAACCTGCGGTGCTCCCAGGCATCGTTTCGTCGACTCGTCGACGTTCTCCGCAACTACATGGCTGACTACAAGTTCCCACGCTCGAAGCACTCGTTCAAGAAGATGGTGGCTATGCTTCTGTACTACCTCGGTAGCGGCGCGAGACGGCTGGTGCCTTGGGTGTCTCCTTCGCGGACGAGTGGGCTCTTCATATCAATTTCAGCCTCTCGCTTTTCATGTCATGCGCGTCATCTCGCGTTCAACTACACCCCGACCACCGATATGACGGGGCTGGCGCAGGCACTCGCGACCACGTCGACGCTAACAAGCCTCGGAATCCTCAACAATGACAATCTTGTGCGCGCCTTTTTGGCGCTGCAGTTGCCTTGCGCCGTCTCTGACCTCAAGACAACCCAGCCCGTTTTTGTTGGTCGTTCTGGAAACTTTGTGATTTGGCCAAGCTCACGTCACTTGCGATCTCATGGAAGTGCGACCAGAAAGATACCGTCTCGCTCGTCCCGCACGTGCCAGCGCTTCGTCACCTCTCGTTGCATTGGGGTGGGCTAACCTTGGACGATACATCGCAAAGGCCACACCTCGAGAGCCTGGAGCTCTGGGCAGCTCACTTGACGAAGCCGAGGCATTCGATGCCGTGCCCGCGTCACACTCAGCGCCTGCAACTGGGTTCGCACCAGTTTCCTCAACAACGGTCTCACGCTCGCAAGCTTTGCCACGACGGGAGCTTGAACGCCGTCCTCCTCGCGCTCGTGCTGCGCCAAAGTCGCAATCAATTGCCGTTCACACTGGACCTCACCGACAATGGCTTTACGTTGGACGGCGTTGGCATGCTGCTACAAGCCCTCGCAACGTGCACGTGTGTCTGCATCCGCCTTGACCGCCCAGAGACACGAGGGCAACGCTCGACAACTTCGAGCAATCTTCCGCATGACGCACAACGTTGTGGCCCGTAGCTGTGGCCCGTTGTGTGTGTTCTATAGTTCTACTACGAATGCGATATGACATATGTGGTAAGTTGTACATGTTTGGGAGTGCATCCAGCGTGCGGTTTTTGATTGGTCTAAATTCGCTACATTTTCAACCA